GTCACCTATATATCTTTTGGAGCAGACCCACAATGGCAAGGCCAAATGTAAACTGATTAATGTATATGTATAAATTATTTTATTAGTCCAGCTTTGCAAAAAAACCCCACAAAAAAACCCAAAAAAACCCATTGCCTGGCACATTTTCAGGATGGATTCAGTAATAAGATGTAACCATAGAAGATGGCTTTTATTCAAGGTTAACCAGCATCACTTAAATGATGACTGAATGATTATAATTACCTTTTTAGCAAAAGTTTAAATGTGATCGGTTAATTCCAGACAGTGTACCATGCCCCATTATAAAAAGGGTGTGCACATTTATGCAACCAGGTCATTTCATACTTTATATAGGCCTAATTACACACCTATGTTAAAGTATGGGTATTGTTTAAAACTTACTCAATTAAAAGACAAAGTATCCCACTAAAGTATATCACTTTAAATACTTAATTATTCAAAAGTAAACTTTTTTAAATTAATAAAACAATTACTTAATGATGTTCTAAGTAGTAAAATGTATCATTTTGGCTTGAATTGTCATACAAAGACTCCTGACGGTGACATTTGTGTTCACTTACATACATATATTGTCTTGGGTGGCTTACCAAGATTTAGCTAACAGGACATGTTCCTGGATCAACATCCTTCTGCTCCTGAAAGAAGATTCCTCTCGACCATATTTTAAAGACAGAGAAAGACTCTTCTTAGAGAACATTCTTATAAACCAATTTACTTGATATATGGGTTGACATAAAGGTTGGGTTTTTGGGTAAAGTTGTTACAGAACAAACAAGATATTTCTCCAGGTTTTAGAAGAGAGTACATTGAACTTCCAGGGAACCATTTCTTTCACTGTCATTACACAAAAGGGGAGACACAAGCCAGAGATGTTCTCTTCACACCGATCGCAGCTTAAGTAAACATTTAGCTGTTTCAACCCAACCCTGCTCTTAAAGTTTGACAAGTTCAGTGATGAACGCTTTATTTATACCATACTCCCATCACAGGAGATTACAGAACAGCATCAGGCGTATGTATACATTAGTCCTTGTCCAAAAGTCAACAAAAGAAAACCTGTTTTGAAATAATTTAGAAGTCATGAAGAGAATGAGTTCTTCTTAAAAAAGGCTCAAAAGGGCTCCCAAAGCCAGGTTTGACTATCCAGAAAACATTCAAATGTTCAAATCATAAAATCTGGGTCATTGCACATGATGACACAGTGGTCTTGGCCAGATGTAAATATCCCTTTATAGAAAAAAGGCAGGCTCTTCAAAGGGCGAAGAAGTGCTTCAATCCATCATCTGATTTTTTGTTACTCATAGCGGTTTGTGGTAAAACATTGCAACACTGGCCTGTAATGCTACCTGAGCAATTGTAATCCTTTATTTTTCTTTAGAAACGAATAGACAGAACACAAACCAAGCTTCACTCAGGGACATCCGAGAGGAAACCTTCACGTCCTCATCCTGCTTGGCAGATTGATTTGGCTCTGTCCAATCTCAGTATTTTGAGTGAGTCGTGAAAGCCAGTTTGCCTATCTGATTGACTTAAAAGTTCTTCCTTTCAATAACAACACTGTTACAACTCTGACATTTGAGCACCCAACAGTCTTTCCAAAATCGACAATATTAGTCAAAAATTTTGTTTCGCTCCCTGAAAGCAGTTCTTGAATGAATATAAACTCACAGCAGATTAAATATACAGTACATGGAAGTGAAATAGACTATACAATATCATAATAGCAAATACAAACCGTACAGGTAATATTGTAATAGAACGTCATTGCTGAAGTGATAGAGGAATATTCATCCAAAAACTATTCTAAAATTCATCATTTATTTCCCCTCAGTCATCATATGACTTTCTTCTTTCTACTCTGAAACACAAAAGCAGATATTTATATCAAAATGTTTAAGCTGTTTTTGTTTTCCTCCACTCAATGAAAGCCAGCTGTTGAGCAAAATGTTCAGAGCAAGATAATGGAGCACTTTTACATTTCTTACATTTACATGTAATCATTTAGCAGACGCTTTTATCCAAAGTGACTTACAAATGAGGAGAGCAATAGAAGCAATCAAAGTAACAATAGGGCAACAATATGCAAGTGCTGTGACCAGTCCCATTTAATCTAGTAGAGTACAAGTAGCAAGGCGTGTTTAAAAAAAACAAACAAAAAAACAGATATAGAATATTAAGTGTTAGTATTAAAGGGTAACTAAACCAACTTTTTATTAGTTAATGATCTGTAAGACTGGGGCTTTATTAATGCTGTTCATTGATTCGAGTAACTTTTTTGACATTTGGGTATAAAGTGTTTTAATTCTACAATATATGGTGTAAAAACGTCTGAGTGCTGCCCTCTTCAGGTTGAACGGTGGCTACTGCAGGTGAATTTTCCTATTGGATGTTTGCGGTAGTTCGTGATAGTAGCGGTAAGAGCTGACGTAAGCAGGTTTCAGCTCACCACGCCCTTGGTACGAGCTACCACGTCCATGGCAGTATAAAAACCATCTTGTTTCGTCAAAACCACTGTAGCGAGTCAGGAGTTGGAATTGCGAGTATTGAAAACGATCAGGATAGAGTATCCGTTCATCCCCTCTATCTCCGCTGGGCTCCGCCCACTTTTCCAGCATTTTTCAAATATTGCCAGTGGGTGGAGTCAGGCTCTGACCAGGGGTTTAGTTACCCTTTAATGGGTCAAGTGTTCACCGAAAGAGATGTATCTAGCAGTTTCTTGAAAATGGCTAAAGACTCAGCAGCTCGGGTTGAGTTAGGTCATTCCTCCAGCAGGGAACAGTCCAGGTAAAGGTCCATGGAAGTGATTTTGTGCCTCTTTGAGATGGCCTCGCCCTGACTTCAATGCAATATCGCCTCCCACTAGCAACTGACGTTAGAGACTATGGTCTTAGCGACTTGACTGCACTGACCCTATTGGATGAGAACTAAACTGAGCTGGATAATCACTGTTTTATCCAGAGCTGCTTTATCTGTTACCTGTCCTACTTGATCTGCTTCGAGTGGCATTCGAACCGGTGTCTCCGGCATGGGTGGCGGGCGCACTAACAAGGACGCTATAAGACCGTAGTCATTAGCCTCAGTTGCTAGTGCGAGGTGATCTTGCATTGAGGTCAGGGGAGTGAGGTTTACACGCACAGCTCTTACTAGCTTGCCTCCATTACACTCACCCCCTTAAACCACGCTCCCACCCGGGTCACGGCACCAAATGTAACCGGGCCTCCTTGACTCGCTCAGGGCGGAATTAGAACAGGTGTCTCCGACGTTAACAAGGACACAAGATTGCAGTCACTGAACATTCAACGCTATAATGACTGTTTACTCTTACCTTTTTAGAGCATAATTTAATTCTGTTTGCATCATTGAATTATTATTTTCCTGTTTCTCACTGTAAACTGCTTTAAAACAATCTGTATTGTATAAAGTGCTATATGAATAAAGGTAACTTGACTGGACATCTTTTTTCATTGTATGGAAGAGAACTCTCTGCTAAATTGTAATAAATATATATTTTTTCTAAAACCAATAAACAGCTTTTGCATGACGTACAGCCATGATCTCTTACATCAGTATTCATAACTCAGTTCATTAGGAGGCATTACTGCTGACTTGTTGACTGTAGCTTGAGGGTAAAACGTTTCCACCAAATATTCATATCTACACTGCAAAAAAAAAAAAAAAAAAAAGTTCTTATTTGGTGTTTTTGTCTTTTTTTCCAGGTAAAAGAAACAAGATACATTTAGCTGAGAAGCAAAATTACTTAATATATTTTTTTAAAAATTATTAAGATGAAAACAAGATAATTTTTTTCTGATTCCATGGGCAGATATTTATTCTATTTTTAAGCATAAACTCTTCATTTTGACCAATTTTTCAGAAAACATTTTTTCAAAATTTTTAAGGTAATTTAGCATCTCAAGAAAATGTATCTTGATTTAAGAATGTTTAGATATTTGTACTGGAAAATAAAACAAAAATATAGAGTAGGAAATTATTATTATTTTTATTTTTTGTGTGTGTGTGTGTAAACACATACATACATTTCCTAAGTTCCCCAACAAATACCATTTCAATTAAGGGTTTATGCAAGAAGACACAATTTTGTGTTGTTGTTTTTTTTTTTATGACAAGTTCAATCAAAACATTAAATTATAACTAGTGACTGAAAATAACAGTACATCGGCTACACAATGATTAGACAAACGTGTGTAGTTTATAAAATTATGTTTAGCACTAGATATAATATATATATATATATATATATATATAATATACATAACATTTTAAACAAAACAAACAAACAGTGAGAACAGTCTATTGATAGAAATACATTCTGTTAGTCAGACATAAACTATAACAGGCATTCATGTAGCGTCATGGAGATGAAGATATGCCTAAATTGCAAACCTGAGTCATAACAAACATTAACATTTAATAATATTTAATATCTTACCTAGAGAACCTAAAACATTGACATTTTTATATACTTACAGTAAAGATCAGCATTGCCCTCTTCTGGAGAATTTGAGTACAACGAAAGAAGTTCTTTAAAAAACATAATCATATTTATAAGCTTATTGTTGACACTACAAATCAAACAAACAAACAAACAAACAATATATAAGCAAAATAAATCACACAATAAATAACAAATTACTACATGTTCATGAACATTTTGACCAACTGTTTAGCTGTTTGCATGCAAAATATAGTTTTGTGAATTAATCAATAAAACTAAGTGTTGAAAACAGTTTCACAATAAATTATAATTTTGTCTTGTAAAGGATAATACTGGTCATTCAGTGCAGGTATTACTGCAAAATTGAATATGCATAGTCGTACTGACAGCTCTTAAAGGAATAGTTCACTTTCTGTTCTTCACACAAATCTCTCGTATGGCTGTTGTGTATATTTCATTTCATGGTGAAAAAGGAGCAGCCAGGACATGCGTAAATAGCCACAGATTTATTCACTTTGGGGTGAACTATTCCTATAAATGCCATTCATAGCATGAGTTATTTTTATTAATCTGTTACGTGTAGATAAAAATATAAAACAATGCACTTTAATCGGTACAACCAGCTCTATCACACACCTGAAGCTATTTTCAGTCTCTAAAAGCACCGTTATTCCCTTTATATTCACATGCATTCCATAGGGTTTCACAGATGTATGAAGTGCAAAGGTAAACATCTCTCTTCACCCATTTCCACAGAGCTGGACGTTACGACACCCTCTGCATAGCAGTTAGTTATTCGACTCAAAATACATGAAGTCCTGAAAAAAATGAACATAAATGTCATTACTAACACTTTCTTGGCCTTTCTCCCACAATACAAACCATATCCTCCATACACTCCAACTCACAATGAGAAAGCAAGCTCCGATCATCACTGCCTTCATTCTCACATCAAGATCCATAGGGAACTGTATCCCAAAGTTGTCAGAATCCGTGAAAGCCTCTCGGAGAAGTCCTGTCCATTGTTTGCTGATCTTTCCGATGCCAACTTCATCCATGGTGAGAATCTAGACAGAATAATAAAATTTTCAATTGTACTTACTGGTATAGTTTACACAAAATTGAAAATTATGTAATCTTTTTCTCACCCACATGTTATTCCAAACCTGTATGAGTTTCTTTCTTCGGTTGAGCATAAAAGAAGATATTTTGAAGAATGCTGATGGACAAACAGTTGATGGACCTCATTGACCCTCATAGAATTCCCCAAAAAAATACTATGGAAGTCAATCTGGTCCATTAATTGTTATTTACAAACATTCTTTAAAATATCTTCAAACCTGACTGCATCCACACAAGCAGTGTGCATATGATAGAGCGTGCACAGTATGCTGCCTTAGCAAATCACGCTACATTACTGCCGTTCTCAACTATGTACCTTGGGTTTTTAGCACTTACTAGCATGAAGAACAAATATAGACACAGACAGACTGCATAGAGACCGATTTAAGACTCAGACGCCGTTCGATACAAAAACACACACTGTTTGAGAATGTTGTTTTTAAATTATACGAGCAAGAATGCATATTATTTTCCCCCGAATATCCACATATTTTATAAAATAGTAAGGTAATATTACGTGTACATTTTAAACAAATTTTTGACGCTCCCCAATTGACTTTCTACTGATTATAAGTAAGTTTGCAAGTACAAATTAACTTATTCTACTAACCCTAACAGTCTACTATAGTCTACTAATACTCTAATAAGAGTTAGTTGACATGTAGTTGCAAAGTTACTTATAGTTAGTAGAATGTCTAAAGTGGACTAACAATTTCTATTTAAAACATTATCTCAAAACATTATTTATGCCATTGTAATTGCATTCATGCCACCTCTGAGCAGCATTAAACAGTACGTAATTACATCTAGATGTGGTTTGTGCCACTGCAGTGCAAAGATGGCTTTTGTTGATACTGATTTAATTAATAGGGTTAGATTTGTAAAAAATGCACCTGAAAATCAATTTAAGTGCAAATATTGACCCTTAATGGAAAAGGTGAGACTGCAGTCTCAGTGAAAGAGAGGCGGTGCGCAGAAGGATGTTAAATGCCTGAGTGGTACATCACTCTAAAAAGTTTGGGAACCACTGATCTCCTGAATAACAGTTCCCCCTAGTGGGCATTTATAGACAGAGCCAAAGAGCAGGCAGAAACGGAATGGCAGAAAATGACTAAAATGCATGTTTGAGCTGTTTTAACTGAACGCAACTTGCACTGGCATATGAAAAATAAATTTAAAAAAACGTGCACTGGCATATCTACAAAAATGTCAATGCCATTATTTTTTTTTTCTCAAGATGCACACCAGTAATGTTTTTTTTAAAGACGCGTTTATAAAAGCTACTTAAATGTCCTAATCCTAAAAATGTCCTAATCCTAAATCCTAAAATTTCCCCCAACAAAATTCTAATGCCTGTATTGTAACAAAAAAAAGATCGTTAACGCGTGAGAACAAACCTCATTGGTTCTTGCAGAAGCTCAAACGTGATGCGTAACAGGAGAATGAACCTCATTGGTTCTTGCTCAAGCTCAACATGCTGCGTAACACGAGAATGAACCTCATTGGTTCTTGCTGAAGCTCAAACGTGCTGCGTAACATGAAAATGAACCTCATTGGTTCTTGCTGAAGCTCAAACGTGCTGCGTAACACGAGAATGAACCTCATTGGTTCTTGCTGAAGCTCAAACGTGATGCGTAACACGAGAATGAACCTCATTGGTTCTTGCTGAAGCTCAAACGTGCTGCGTAACACGAGAATGAACCTCATTGGTTCTTGCTGAAGCTCAAACGTGATGCGTAACACGAGAATGAACCTCATTGGTTCTTGCTGAAGCTCAAACGTGATGCGTAACACGAGAATGAACCTCATTGGTTCTTGCTGAAGCTCAAACGTGATGCGTAACACGAGAATGAACCTCATTGGTTCTTGCTGAAGCTCAAACGTGCTGCGTAACACGAGAATGAACCTCATTGGTTCTTGCTGAAGCTCAAACGTGCTGCGTAACACGAGAATGAACCTCATTGGTTCTTGCTGAAGCTCAAACGTGATGCGTAACACGAGAATGAACCTCATTGGTTCTTGCTGAAGCTCAAACGTGATGCGTAACACGAGAATGAACCTCATTGGTTCTTGCTGAAGCTCAAACGTGATGCGTAACATGAGAATGAACCTCATTGGTTCTTGCTGAAGCTCAAACGTGATGCGCAGAGCCATATAGAGTGAGAGTTGCGACAACTCCATTGACTCCAATGGAACGTTTTTTTACAGCAATGGCGGTTCGCGGAGCCTCTCAATAGTTCCCGGAAGTAGCAGCAGTGCGGTAGAGTTACAGCAGAACAGACCGTTTGTGATGCACTTTGAAAAGGTAAGACGTTTAAAGAATAAGATTGTATTTTATCAGTACATCTGAATCAAATTAACTTGTAACTTTAACTGTATTAAAGCATGCTAGTTGATATTGCTCTCTAAATTAGTAGTTTTAGGGGACGTTATCAGGTAAAATAAAGGTCATTGGATAAAGTTAGTACCGCATAACAAACCACGAACAGCATATTAATGTTTAAACCCGTTCTATTAATGCATGTTTATCCTTTGTTGTATAATAAGAGGGAAATACTTCTAAACAGAGGTTAAATATAACATTGGGGAGCGTGATAGTTGTAATTGATAAAATCAGAATATCGGTTTCATTCCATATTAAATGTGCAATAACGGGGAAAAATCCTTATTTTAGATTTCATATTTGAGTAAGGAAAAACGTATGGTTGGCGTTTTTTATTCATTGTGTTTCTGTTGACTATTACCTTTCTATATTATGATTTAGCTCAGCTGATTTGTATTGATGGGAAAGGGAGATGGAAGTTTATAAGTAAGATTAAAAACATGCTTAAAACGGCAGCAAGCCGTGTTCTAGATCAAATCACACTAGGCTAAATGGGGTATTATAAATACCATAACTGTATTATATACTAACTCCTATATATAATTTATCCCGTTTTTGTTTCCTTTATCTCTTTCAACACAAGAAGCACAAAGAGGATTCGGTGGATCTTGAAGACTCCTGCACTGACGCTGTACCCTCATCAATCTCAGCTCCTTGGATTTTGCAAGACTTTACTTCCTCCCTATTTTTAATAAACATTAAACTTCCCAGTGTTGGTCTTTGTGGAAAAAGTGCAGATACACCTAAGTATGATCAGATTGCTCCTGACTTGAGCATATTTTCTGTGTCTGACAACATAGAGGAAAGGCCAGACAACATGCTTGACGTGCAGTTTATTAGACATTTATAAATCCCATTGTGCTAATTCAGTGCAAAAGTGTATATATGTCATTGAAAAATAAACAAATTACATCAGTTTTGAAAAGAAATATATATATATATATATAGGTCATTGACAAATAAACAAAGAAATGTTTGTTTTTTTAATCTTTTCAAAACTGATGTAATGTATATTTTTGTGTCATGAACAATGTATTTGAACAAGTTTCAGTTGTGAACATTTCTAAGTGTTTAAATTCACCTGAAAGTGTACCAACCTACCCATAACTTTAAAGCAATTACCAGTATTTGATAGAGATCTACAAGGATCATTATGGCTCCTCTGGACAATGCATTATCATGCACACTGCAATTACCATAATAAGAGAGCCATGTTTGCAGTTGTGCCCCCCTGACATACAAATTGTTAGACAAAAGGTTTTCAGTTATCAGCTATAAATCTACTGAAATGTATAAAATTTGTTTATATGAAAGGTTAAAATGATGCCATAGAATTTTATTTTTATATGATTAAAACACCATTTAAATTAGTATTTTAGTCTGTTCATTTGTGCGGACAGTTACACAACCTGACATTTTGGGGGGTTTAAGATAACAAAACATAAAATATGTATTATCTAAATGTACTAAAAATGAATTTAAACTAAATAGGTTTTATAGATTAAAGTGATGTATGTCATGAATTTATCAAATTATGTTAAGGAAATAATGTACTTGGACACTTAGAAAATAATGTAAGTGTGTGTATAATCATGTTTTGTTTTAAAATGAAATATATTATGTATTCTTTTATATAGTAATAAGTGCATAAGCATTGTAAACATTACGATGAATGCAATTTTACATTTTACCTTTTTGCAATGGCTTTTTAAGACAATCACCTGTTTCCTGCAAGTCTCCTGTCCTTGTGAAACCATAGTGAACATTACATGATAACCCTTAAATACCATACAAGTTTAAGAACAGAAAAATACTTCAAAACAACTGCAACACGGTCTGTAACCAAGGTAAAGTTAGCCAGAAAATATGTTAACAAAGGCAGGCAACACTGGTTGACCACAATAACCATTAAATATCAGCAGATTTTTATCTTTTAAAAACAATATTGCTGTAACTACATACACATACTACATCCAAATGTCAATGTATTATATACATATTGTAAACCAACGCATTTATTGACTACAAACTACCAAAAATCACAGTTCAGCTCTCTATCTCCATCGATTTGAATTGGCGCCGAAGCACTTCCTGGAACTATCTGAGGTCTCCGCGAATCACGTGACAACCAAGCATTTAGAACTTCCGTTGTCGCAACTCTCTCTCTATATGGCTCTGGTGATGCGTAACACGAGAATGAACCTCATTGGTTCTTGCTGAAGCTTAAACGTGCTGCGTAACACGAGAATGAACCTCATTGGTTCTTGCTGAAGCTTAAACGTGCTGCGTAACACGAGAATGAACCTCATTGGTTCTTGCTGAAGCTCAAACGTGCTGCGTAACATGAGAATGAACCTCATTGGTTCTTGCTGAAGCTCAAACGTGCTGCGTAACATGAGAATGAACCTCATTGGTTCTTGCAGAAGCTCAAACATGCTGCGTAACATGAGAATGAACCTCATTGGTTCTTGCTGAAGCTCAAACGTGATGCGTAACACGAGAATGAACCTCATTGGTTCTTGCTGAAGCTCAAACGTGCTGCGTAACACGAGAATGAACCTCATTGGTTCTTGCTGAAGCTCAAACGTGCTGCGTAACACGAGAATGAACCTCATTGGTTCTTGCTGAAGCTCAAACGTGCTGCGTAACATGAGAATGAACCTCATTGGTTCTTGCTGAAGCTCAAACGTGCTGCGTAACACGAGAATGAACCTCATTGGTTCTTGCTGAAGCTCAAACGTGCTGCGTAACACGAGAATGAACCTCATTGGTTCTTGCTGAAGCTCAAACGTGCTGCGTAACATGAGAATTAACCTCATTGGTTCTTGCTGAAGCTTAAACGTGCTGCGTAACACGAAAATGAACCTCATTGGTTCCAGAGCCGGACAGGAACGGAGTACATTTACTTGAGTACAGTACTTGAGTACAATTTTGAGGGATCTGTACTTTACTCGAGTATCATTTTTGGGGATTACTCATGACTTTACTCAAGTACATTTGAGAGGCAAATATTGTACTCTTTACTCCACTACATTTCGATGCATAACCGTGAGTACCCGTTACTTCTAAAAAAAAAAATTTAAAAAAAGGAAAAAAGAAAAATCTCGAAAACCCTCAATTTGTTGTTTCCCTCTCAACGTGATTGGATTGTGCAGGCGCCACTAATTGGGACAGCCTATCAGCAAATCACCTTCAGCTTCAGCTCTGAACTGACTCCAAAGTAAACTCCATGGTCAGATTTAGATAAGAGACGAAACCATGGACGAAACAGGTTCAAATGTGGGTGCAAAAAAAAACATTAAAACTCTAGCAGAGGTTTGTCAAAGCGTTGCCATTGTGCATTGCCTTGTGGGCAAGTGAGAAATGTTACATAAAGCAACATGGTAAAAAGATGAAAATGACTTGAATTAACTTTCAATTCCTTTTAGATTATCAAAGGTATTAACATTAACATTTTTCATAACTCCATGTAGGACGTTTCTGTACATAAATGTAAGCACGGTTCGCGTACCTACCCCGAAGTGATAAAATAAAATTCTGTATCAAATTTATAGGCAAGACAAGTAGTTTGTTTAGGCATGGTTTGTTGGGAAATTACAAACCTGCGCACACATATTCAAACGAATTTAACTACAGAATCAATTTTTAATGCGCATGTGAGCGCCATCAGGTCACAGGTTCAGTTTAAAGTCTGTTTAGAGAGAACGGCGTCGTCTTAGCGGCCCCTAATTTAATAACAAATGATCATTTCGCCGGAAGTGAATCAATCAAAACCAACTTTAGCTGGAAATAACATTATTCAAGAATCGCTATAAAGCCAAAACAATCTCTGTTACCTTAAATTATGTTTATCTCTGTAAAGCCGCTTTGAAACAATCTACATTGTTAAAAGCGCTTTATAAATGAAGATGACTTGACTTGACACTGTGGCAGTAGTAATGCAATATTTAGAAAATGTACTCTTGTACTCTTGATACTCAAGTACTTTTAAAAACAAGTACTTCAGTACTTTTACTTAAGTAGACATCTGACTGTAGTACTTTTACTTGTACTTGAGTAAAATTTAGCAAGGGGTATCTGTACTTTTACTCAAGTAACGAAGCTGTGTACTCTGTCCGCCTCTGATTGGTTCTTGCTGAAGCTCAAACGTGATGCTTAACACGAGAATGAACCTCATTGGTTCTTGCTGAAGCTCAAACGTGCTGCGTAACATGAGAATGAACCTCATTGGTTCTTGCTGAAGCTCAAACGTGATGCGTAACACGAGAATGAACCTCATTGGTTCTTGCTGAAGCTCAAACGTGCTGCGTAACACGAGAATGAACCTCATTGGTTCTTGCAGAAGCTCAAACGTGATGCGTAACACGAGAATGAACCTCATTGGTTCTTGCTGAAGCTCAAACGTGCTGCGTAACACGAGAATGAACCTCATTGGTTCTTGCTGAAGCTTAAACGTGCTGCGTAACACGAGAATGAACCTCATTGGTTCTTGCTGAAGCTCAAACGTGCTGCGTAACACGAGAATGAACCTCATTGGTTCTTGCTGAAGCTCAAACGTGCTGCGTAACACGAGAATGAACCTCATTGGTTCTTGCTGAAGCTCAAACGTGCTGCGTAACACGAGAATGAACCTCATTGGTTCTTGCTGAAGCTCAAACGTGCTGCGTAACACGAGAATGAACCTCATTGGTTCTTGCTGAAGCTCAAACGTGCTGCGTAACACGAGAATGAACCTCATTGGTTCTTGCTGAAGCTCAAACGTGATGTGTAACACGAGAATGAACCTCATTGGTTCTTGCTGAAGCTCAAAAGTGCTGCGTAACACGAGAATGAACCTCATTGGTTCTTGCTGAAGCTCAAACGTGATGTGTAACACGAGAATGAACCTCATTGGTTCTTGCTGAAGCTTAAACGTGCTGCGTAACATGAGAATGAACCTCATTGGTTCTTGCTGAAGCTCAAACGTGCTGCGTAACACGAGAATGAACCTCATTGGCTCTTGCTGAAGCTCAAACGTGCTGCGTAACACGAGAATGAACCTTGTTGGTTCTACATCAAGCAAACATGCTAAAGCTTCCGTTTACCACAAATGATCTGAGTTGATGAATGTTTATATGTAAATAAAAGCCTAAATTCAATCTGTTCATCATAAAAAGTGATAGTGTCTCTTCAGAACATGTGGACTAAACCGCTTGATTCACATGGATTAGTTTACAATCTTTTTAACTTTTCGAAGCGTCAAAATGGTACTTGCGTAGCTGTCAATGGAGGAACAGAAATCTCTCAGATTTAATTAAAAAAAAATCTTCATTTGTGTTCCGAAGATGAACTAAAGTCTTACTGCTTTGGAATGACATGAGGGTGAGTAATTAATGACATAATTTTTGTGTGAACTATCCCTTTAAGGGCTGTGTGATACAGAAATCATTCATTTTCAGTGAACGTTAGAAGTATTTAGTGTCGGTGAGCATTTAATCACAAATGTTTGAGTTGATGTACCTCAAAGTCCACGTCTGGCAGGCAGCTCCAACCACAGAACGGCCCCTGGAGCTTGAGAACCGGCTCTCTGTGCTCATTCTGTATAGTGAACTTGGGGAGGAAAGGGTGCCATTGCTGTAGAACATATCCCACTGTGTTCCCTGGAGGAGCCTGGATCTCCAACTGAGAGAGGAGAGGGTGAAAAGAAGGAATCAACAAAACTATTCTGGTATGTTCTACATGGTCTATATCAAAGCAAACGACATCTGCAAACAAATGCTGCAATTCTCATAACTACAGTTGTTATCAAAATGATTCAACCCCCATTGCAAACCAGGTTTATTGGCAAAATGTGCAGACTTTCAGCTGCTTGCAATGAACTAATCAAACAAAACCAATTGAAATAGTTCAATACAACAAATGTTTCAAGTTGTTTACCCAAATTCAACTGAAAATGCAACTTCTAATGACTTCTGCAGTCTCAAAATGATTCAACCCCCTGAATAGAATCCCTTACAACAGCAAAAATCTGCAAAAACAGGTGTTGTCTCAGTGAGGAAGCTGAAGCTTGGGCGTCATTGGACCTTCCAACAGGACAATGTTCCCAAGCATACCTCAAATTCCACCAAGGCTTGGTTGCAGAAGATTCTACATTGGCCATCACAGTCACCTGACTTGAACCCCATAGAAAATATCTGGTGGAATTTGAAGAAGGCGGTTGCAGCACGCAAACCCACGAATATTACTGAACTGGAGGCCATTGTTCATGAGGAATGGGCTAATATCCCTCAGAAACACTGCCAGAAGCTGGTGTCTGGTTATACATCTCGCCTGCAGCAGGTCATAACAAGTACTAAAAATGCTTGTCATGAAGGGGTTGAATAATTTTTACTCTTTCAATTACAACTGCATATTCGCTATTCAGAGCCATTTTAGCCTTCCAGGCAGATCACCTCTTGCAGACAACATGGGAAGCAGCAGGACATGCATTTTAGAGGACGGTTGACTGTGATGATTTCCTGTCCGATGTTATCGAGGACACGGATGTTAAAGGATCTCAGCGGGCCGCAGCACTGACGGGTGAGACAGTCGTTCTCCTCCACCGCATAAAACACGTTCTGACCCATGGAGTTACGGATATCATATTTATTGTTGCTCTCAAAGCCTGCCAAAGCTGCATAAAACACACAAAGGACTCATTATTATTAATGAAATATAAAGTATTTCTATTAAATTACCTATGCATATATAGGTTTAGGGCAAAAATAGGTCCATCTGTAATAAACTGTTATACATACCTTCAATAAGCTCAACTTTCTGTTTAATAAGAAGTTGATCTACCTGAAAAAGTTGGAAAAACAGGTGATTTAGATATATCCGTATTTCTAATATATATATATATATATACACACACACACACACACACAGTACAGAACAGTACAGTATAGTACAGTAGTGGCTAAAAGTGATGTCTGGTGGGGGTATTTGTATTTAATTAATATGAGGAAAGAACAAAACAATGTATTGTAAACAAATGATTTTTTCTGACAAAATTGTTTGGAAAAAAAGGCAAACTACAATAAAAAAAAAATGCATAGAAAAACAAAAAGATCACAGGAAAAAGCATACATTGACTAGAAGAACATAATCAGTTATTAATATTTTGTGAATTCTCTGTTGTTTTTGCATGTGTTCATATTTATACGCATCACAGCCTGGCCAAAAATTATGTCCGCCGCACAATTTGGCATGTTTTATTGCGTTATCACAAATAAAACAATTGACTCCAAGCTCAACTACACAATAAGCTTTTTAATAATATTTGAATAAAGGGTGAATATTTAAATTTTGCCACAGTAGGCCAGATATCACTTTTGACCTGTACTATATATATTCTCTTTTTTTATGATATTGATGCTGTTATCTAACCTGTGTCAGGTACTCTAATCCCGGTGGACAGCCTGGTATCCCTGGATTGGGAACCATATACATATTCATAGGTTGCATGGCTGCCTTATCATCGTGGTGAAGATGAGAAAAGAAACATTTGTATATTGGTCAATACGTTTTTAGCACCAACTACAGGTGGTTCATTGACAATAAACACACATGGACATGAATTTAAATAGTCCTGCATAATTGTTCAATAATTCGAAAATATAGCTTTTGTAACAATAATACTTTTCAAAAACATATAATAATCATAAAATGTTATCAGAAGAGCATCATGCATTGAGAGAAAAGACAGTAAGTCATCGAAATCTGAACTAGATAAACATATGAGACTATTTAAATCCTAAGATATCCGTGTATGGAATAGCCTGGAAATAAGAAGGAAATGATTTCGTCATAAAATGATTGTAATTTAAGAACATAACAACAAGAATCACAGCAGTTGTCATCCCGCGCGTGCGTGCAAGGCTGTTCTGCCTGTAGTGACTGACCAGATTTAGCCTTCGTACAAATAAAAATCAAAAGTATGCTTTATAACAAGCATGACGCTTTCGGATGTGTTAAATCTACTGTACGAACCTATTTACAGGATCAAAACTCACCTGCGTCTTCTTATGATAAGGAGTGTAACGGGCTGACTTAAGAGTCTCAGGCTCGGCCCCATATTAAACACCACATCCTATTGGCTGGCATGATGCTCGCGTGCTCTAAAACCCGTTTTTACGTCATTACGCTTTGGCCGAGATTTCCCGGAAGCGAATCAACAAATCCTACTATGGTAAAGCCTTTGGTCATGAATATTAATTACGTAAAATGTAACATTCGCCATGTAGTACTATCTGATTGGCTCAGAGAAAGACGTTTGCAGAGGACGTAAACGGCTCTGGGCCATGCTCTGGACGTATGTAAGTGGGCGCTAGCAGAATAGTATGGAGACGCTCTATCGACCGCGACTGCCTTACTTTGCGCTGACGAGCCGTGGGGCCGCCATCTTGGACCGGTCACCCGCTTCACTCAGTGTAATCTGTTTGGCAGGTGCAATGAGCTGTCAGCGCATTTAATTAATCATACCTCACTGAATACCGAACTGATTTTCATGTTTTTTTTGTTTGTTTTTGCTGCAAAGGTCATACATGTAGCTATGATACAGTACACATGGTTCGGCGTATTTTAATATTCATAGTGGGCTTAACAATATTCTGATATATGATATAAAGTGACCAGACAGAAACAGGGGTGGGGCGGGGGCTAGTTTCGGGGAGCATTGTTGGACTGCGCGTGGGTGTGCGAGTGTGTGTGTATGTCTTTGTACTTATGTGTTTGGAATTATCTTTAATATTTTACTCTGTATCATCTTGTTTTGTTTGTCATTATTGTAAGGACCCCCTCGAAAATGAGATGGTACATCTCAAGGGGCTATCCTTGAAATAAAGTAAAGTAAAGTAAACAGATAGTGGCAAAAAAGTCAGATAGTTTAATAAGTTGAAGAAACAATATATGATTATATTATATTAGAGTCTACTGTAAGCTTTTTAAATACTTTTATTCATAGAAATTCCCACATATCAGTGAATTTATTACATAAAAATGCTTTTAACATTTAATTATGCAACACTGTTTACAGAAAAAAAAGTGTCTCTCTCTGTCATACACCAACTCAGTCTCACGGCAATTCGTGATATGGTCACGTAATTTAATCTATTGATTCGTGGAACGGACACGTTTATTTAGTTATTTTCGTGATATCAGCACGTTTTTTAAACTAATGTATTTCAATGGTTAGCATCTTTCGTGTCACGAATCAATAGATTAAATAACGTGGTGACCATATCCCGAATTGCCGCGAGACTAGGTTGCACACACACTGTACTACCACGTTCTTCTGCATCCATCTCCTCCCAGCCCTTGACATCTATGAAGGTAAAAGAGTAGCAAAACTCGAGATCACGTAGATGTGAATTTGAGAACTTGTACAATAAATATTTGTACTTGTACGCTAAAATCTACACTCACAGCTCCAATGTGAAAACCTGTAAAATAAAAATCTGAAGTTGAATGTTGAAATTTGCACTCGCAGACCAGCAGTCACAAATGTGTAAAATGCCATTCACAAAAATACAATGACAGACACAAACTTGTAACATTTGCACTTATTCTTACATTCAGACTCGCAGTACAACCTCAAGTAGGCACTTGCAACTTCTCAAATCTGTCACTGCAATTTCAAAATTCGCGTTGGCGTACTTTTTGTCCCTCTCTGCTATTATAGTTTTTCAAGATGGTCGGAACTACATGGAAGCCTCCGTGGACTTACCCGTCACATGTATATAAATATAATAAATTCTTCGTTTACGAGGATAAATCAGATAATTGGCAGAGATATTTGTACACCATTGGGGACATATTTATGAATAAAAATATTGATTTTAGACTACAAATTACCTAAAAAGTTACTTATAGTCCCTTTAAAAGTAATAAATGATATCAAACTCAGTTAACACCATACTAATTAAGCATGTCCTACTATGTACAGAAAAGCCGATGAGCCCAGAATATGACGAAAGAAAGCAAATATGTGTTTAGTGCAAATAAACCTGCTGCCTGCAGTTCTCTTACGAGAGTACCTCTCGTACTGCGTAATATCTTACGCTATGGGGAAAACCTCTTTTCCACGAGATATTGAAGCCAAAAATTATCCTTAATTTTTAATCAATGCAAAACGCTTTGCGGCAGCATGCAGACATAGGCGAGGCAGCTCGCGCGCCTATTGGCTGCCCTGCGGCAAAAGCAGCAGCCTATCGAGAGCGGCGTGGTCTTAAAGGGCGTGGTCTCGCCCTATAAAAGCAGGTCGATAGGCTGATACAAACTGATTTTCATCTCTTCAAGCGAAGCTCACGCATCGCTGGATCCGGAGTGAGAAGCCGCGCCGTCGACGCAAGCCTTTCAGCGGGACGAGCCCTTGAGTCTGAAGCCGCTGGCCTTCACCTCGCCGCCTTCAGCCGCCGTACCTGCTGCGCTTTCCGGCGCCTATATCCTTTACTCTGCTGAGAGTGTTCGTTCGCCGCTGCAACTTAAACTTCTCCAAAAATTCTAAAAGAGCTGCGTCTTTTTCAAGATGCCTTCCTGTGGCTCGTGCCGAGCCCAACTCAGCGACGAGGACCGCCATGTCATCTGCGTGTCCTGCCTGGGTGAAGATCACGCGGCTCTCGCGCTCGCTGACGGCGGATGCCCTCATTGCGAGCTGTTGCCTATGGTGACTCTGAGGACTCGCCTGGCATCCTTCTCAGAGCCTGCACTTCTGCCCACTGTGGTACCGCGCCGCAAGAAGTGCCGTGCTCAGCGCGCCCCCGAGCTCTCTCCTGCCCGCCAAAGCTCGCCGGTTCGCCCGCCAGCTTCGCCGGCATCGCTCGAGTCGCTCACAGATGGACAACGGCCGCTGTCTGCCGCCGCGTCCGCCTTTGAGCTCGACGAACCTACCGAGGCATGTTCTCTCCTGGCATCGGACAGTGATGATTGGGCGAGCTCTGTGGACCTCCCCCCCGCTACCCGCCAGCCCTCTGGGAGACGTGGCATTGAAACTGAGCTGATGCGTCTGCTCTCTCAAGCCGTGGATAACATCGGCCTCGACTGGGAGGCTCCCGCGCCACCACCACGCAACAGACTTGACGGTCGCTTTCTCAGAAAGGACGACGCCCCGTCACGGCCGAGATCCGCGCCCTTCCTCCCTGAACTTCACGAGGAAGTTGCGAAATCGTGGAACGCCCCCTTCTCCGCCAGGCTGCGTACCTCTGTCTCTGCTGCATTCTCCTCTGTGGACGGTGCGAAAGATAGAGGATACCTTTCCATTCCCCCTGTGGAAGCAGCTGTAGCGTCTCATCTTTGCCCGCCCTCCGCTGGACGGCACGCTCAGACGGCGCTACCATCCAAAGCCTGCCGAGTGATGTCAGCCATGCACGGACGCGCTTACACCGCCGCCGGGCAAGCAGTTTCAGCGCTGCACACAATGGCTGTCCTGCAGATCTTCCAAGCCGACCTTCTCCAAAAATTGGACGAGGAAGGACCGGGAGCGATCTGCGCGGCGGACTTAAGAAGCGCTACAGACCTCGCTCTACGCGCTGCAAAAACCGCCGCACAGGCCGTTGCGGAATATGGCCTCTCACACCGTGGCTGAGAGACATTTGTGGCTGACGCTGTCCGAGATGACGGAAGCTGAGCGCTCCGTGTTCCTCGACGCACCCATTTCGCCAGCGGGCCTTTTCGGATCTGCCGTCAAAGATTTCGCGGACAGATTCGTCGGGGTGCAGAAAACATCGCAGGCTTAGGGGTGGGCGATATGAGCAAAAATTCATATCACGATATTTTTCACTGTCTGGACGATATCGATATTATATCGCGATATGAGAAAAAAAATTGGAATCACATTTTAGTACACCTTAGTTAAATTACAGGCAAAATATGTATTTTAACATTAGATAGAAAAAGGGGAGGCATTTCATTGGACATAGACCAGAAATGTTTTTGTTTTTTTTATTGTGCCATTTTTTTTCTCAAAAAGTGCAAACGTGCAACATGAGGTAGGCCTGGATGCACTTGTTATGTCTTTCCACTTTTTGCTCGTTTTGTCATAATGAGAACCGGCAGCGAATGAAGACTTTATTGATTTCTGAGTGAGAGCCGTCTTCGGGTGTGCTCTGTCTCCGCCGGGAATATCTGTTGTTATAGTTTTGCTTTTTTAAATTAGTTTTTATTTTAATATCGTTTTCAATTTTGCTTTAAATTTCTGTTTAGTTTTAGCTAGTTTCATTAATGGTTTTGTAAATTTTTATTTTGCAAACACATTTCTATATAGTTTTTATTTTATTTAGTTTCAGTTTTAATAATTATAGTTTAGCTTTAGCAGAGCGACCAGAACACTTCCAGTGTAGACCAAAGCGAGACGTTTAATTTAAGTTTAATGTTTGCACAGATTACAGTTAACTCTTGTTAATAATAAAAATAAAATAATGGTTTGAGATTGAACAAAGCACCAAATAAATAGAACTTAAAAGTATACAAGAAAAAAACAATGAAAATTTTCATACAAACTAATTCATTAGTGTAAGGAGACAGAATAAAGGCCTACAGTTTAGTATAAAACCCATTACGTCTATGGAGAGTCCCCACAAAGATAGTGGACCAGTGTGTGTGTATGCGCGCGCTTATGTGTGTGTCGTGTGTATGTGCGCGCTTATGTGTGTGTCGTGTCCTGTTATTCATAGCCTAACGTTACATTGTGGGGAAATGTCTCCACGTGGATAATATTATTAGCAGTAAATGTTTTGTAAAAACAAAGATAATAATAGCAGCTTTCAGCCTTCATGAAAATATGACATCTCAAACATACAGTAGCCTAGAACTTTAACGTTTTTTTGTGCTTGACGAACTTGTTTTGGTGTTGCACCCGCGTCTCGCAAATGAAACGGCATTCTAAAAATGCTGCGCTCAAGTTAAAAGTCAAACTTGCGTCTCATTACCTTGTTATTTCCCATTCCACCGCAAAAGATGCATCCTTTATGAACAGTCGCTTAGCACTAGCGATGTGTTCTACGTTACGGTCCTTCATTGAACGCGTCACAGGACAGCGGTTAATCGCCTCAGCAACTTCACGCGTATGAAGCGCCAAATC